ACACGTTGAGGGGCCATTGTGTTAATAAACGTAGTGTAAACACTCAGGTGAGTTCTTTTAAATTTTACAAAGAATCACACCGCTGCCTGAGTGAAAATCGTGCAATTGTAGCAAAAGTATAAAATGTGACGCGAAACCATTTCCATGACATGAAATACACGTGCAAGTTTGTTAAAGACATTTTTTTTTGCATTTGGACAAAATATTGCCAGTTATACAGTTATTGATTATCTAAATACATAGAAAATTTAAATGATCCTTATCAAATTTTGAGTAGTTGACCCACCACCTCCCCTGCAACCACTCAATATATACTCAATTGTATTTGATTAAATTATGTACACTTACAGTGGAGTTATTATATATATATATATTAGTTATTTATATATGATTCCTATATTTGACTTTTTCCAATTTTCACATATTGTAAAGTTGTCACATATAGGTACAAAATGATACAAAGACTAAATGTTTTGATCGTTTACTTAGAGAGAAATAACACTTTTTACGGATTTTTGACTCAAATCTGTACTTAGATTTGAAGCATTTAAAAGCCAACATAGTTCTAGTATGTGTGAAAAATCTTTTTTATTTAATATATTTTGAAACCTTAGTCCCTTATTATTCATTTAATTTACATCTAAATTCAATGTTCTATAATAATTTTGAGAAGCAGAAAAGAAGATATTTTCATACGCTACCATTCAGCCAAAAATATAGTACATGATAGTTTTCAAATGAATTTTACCATTTCTATTTAAAGTTGTATAAAAGTGATGAGGAAAGAAAAAAATGGTCTTTTAATTCTCTTGCATCTAAATATAGAAGACATATCAACAAATATACTTTGAGTATTTCATCTACTCAGTAACTAGAGAAGAATCCTACCTTTACAAATGAATAAAAAACAATACCTTTCATATTAGTATAAATTTAGTATCCCCCCCCGCAAACGAAGTTTGGGGGGTATATAGGAATCACCTTGTCCGTCTGTCTGTCTGTCTGTCTGTCTGTCTAGCTGTCCGTTCGTCCGTCTGTCCGTCTGTGTCCTGTCCATATCTTTCTTACCGAGGGACATTAGAATTTACTACTCCAAATAAAGATTGCCCATGACCTAAGGGTGTGTGATGACCTTGACCCAAGGTCATTTGGGGAAGTTCAAGGTCACTGGAAGAAAAATTTCATAATTCGTGTCCGGTCCATATCTTTCTTATGAATAAACTTGGTAGGTTCTCATTTCACACAAAGATTGCCAATGACTCAAAGGTGTGTCCTGACCTTGACCCAAGGTCATTTGGGGAAGTTCAAGGTCAATGGAAGAAAAATTTTATAATTCGTGTCCGGTCCATATCTTTCTTATGGATAAACTTGTTAGGATCTCATTTCACACAAAGATTGCCCATGACACAGGGGTGTTTCATGACCTTGACCCAAGGTCATTTGGGGAAGTTCAAGGTAACTGAAAGAAAAATTCCATAATTCCATAATTCGTGTCCAGTCCACATCTTTCTTATGGATAAACTTGGTAGGATCTCATTTCACACAAAGATTGCCCATGACACAAGGGTGTGTCTTGACCTAAGGTCATTTGGGGAAGTTCAAGGTCACTGAAGAAAAATTTCATAATTCGTATCCAGTCCATATCTTTCTTATGGATAAACTTGTTAGGATCGCATTTCACACAAAGATTGCCCATGACACAAAATTGTGTCTTGACCTTGACCTAAGGTCATTTGGGGGAGTTCAAGGTCACTGGAAGAAAAATTTCATAATTCGTGTCCAGTCCATATCTTTCCCATGGATAAACTTGGTAGGTTCTCATTTGACATAAAGATTGCCCATGACACAAGGATTTGTCTTGACCTTGATCAAAGGTCTTTGGGGAATTTCAAGGTCACTGGAAGAAAAAATTCATTATTCGTGTCCGGTCCATATCTTTCTTATGGATAAACTTTGTAGGTTATCATTTCACACAAAGATTGCCCATGACCCAAGGGTGTGTCATGACCTTGACTCAAGGTCATTTGGGGAACTTCAAGGTCACTGGAAGAAAAATTTCATGATTCATGTTTGATAAATATATTTCTTATGGAAACGCTTACTTCTGAAAACCCCAGCGGGGGGTATTTTGTCCCGTTTGGACAGTTCTAGTTGTTATTATGTTGTGTCTGACTGGATAAAAAATACTTTATATAGTATTATTTAGGTTAACTACGTTACAATGGGTTACCTTATGCACTTATCGATGAGTTGTATAATGTGATTATTGCAGCCCGGAGGACAGGTGAACGTTGATATTTGACCCGGGTTGAAAATTAACCCGTGGGTCTCTTTTCAACGTTTAATTCTGAGACCAAAAGTGTTGAATTTAGACCCTAGTACGTTGAAAACTGAACCGGGTCGTGAAATTTTGATCATAAAACCGGTTCAAAATTCAACAGCATAAAAACATATATTTATGACTTGATTTTCATAGTGCAACTGTGATCTAATCCATAAGCGCCGGGAACGGGGAGGGGGGCAAGAGATGCTTAAACCGCCCCCCCCCCCCCGCTTTAGAAAATTTGAAATCACCATTTTTTTCAAAAGTTATTAACATCAAAATGTACAACTTTTGTACACTTTAAAAATCATAGACAACTGCTTTCTCAATAAAAATGGAACTAGGATATTTTCCTATCTTCCTTCATCAACGAAAATTACTTTGTTAAAAACACCCTGATTCTACCGAACATTATACTGAAGTTGATATTAAAAGGAAGTTTGAGCTCCTTGTCGATACCATTTTTGCAGTCTTTGGAGACCAATTCTTACCTCAAAACTTGTGCTCCTTTATTGGCCGACCTGTTCTAATATTTCTATGAATCAGAATCAGAATATATTTTTATAAACTTTACATGACAAGAAGAAAACATTTGCTCTGGGGTTCAACTCAACATTTAGATTCACCGATGACGTATTATAAGTAACAATAGTTACTTTAGTTCATATGTCGACTCGATATGTCCGAGTGAACTTTAAATTAAAGCCACCACTGAATGTACCACAAATGTTTCATGTCTGGAAGTTTTACATACTATGGAAGATGAAGGCCAACTGAAACTACACTGTATAAGAAAAGAAATGATTTTTTTTTTCCAAAGTGAACTTTCCATATTTATAAAGTAATATTCCGCTACTGACTATTGACAGATAAGTTTGTTACAGGGATTTCACCAACCTTGTTTAAAGTTAGCATTACGTACATGCTATTGTCGCTATATTGATCTTTTTCACAAATATTACCTAAGGCCGATGTGTTTCATTCTTATTTTTAGACTTTTAATTTTGTTAATTTTTATAATGAATTTGACTAGATGGGATGTGTGTGTGTGTGTGTGTGTGGGTGGGTGTGGGTGTGTGTGGGTGTGGGTGGGTGTGTGTGGGTGTGGATGTGGGTGTGTGTGTGTGGGTGTGGGTGTGTGTGTGTGGGTGTGGGTGTGTGTGTGTGGGTGTGGGTGGGTGGTGGGTGTGAGGATGTGAGGATGTGTGTGTGTGTGTGTTTTCTAATTTTCTAATTAAATTTTTTTTTTGGCTTCTTTTTTTTGGGGGGGGGGGGGGTCTTTTTAATTCCAAGCTACATAAATCTATAAATGTTTGTTTGTCTCCTAAAATTTATATTATAAATCTATTATAATCATATTCATTACAAGATAGTTGGTTGATTTCAGTAGCTTAATTATGAGATGTTTTTATGTACGTTTCTCGAATAAATGTAAAATGATAGCCTAATAACATTTTGTATCCTTTTGTTTTGTCAGATATGAGATGAAAATTGTAAAGATGTTATTGTTATAGATTAAATCCCCCTCTCTCTCTCTCCATACCTATAGAATTTCAGCCCTGGCCTCTAACTCTGACAATTTTTCCCCTCTATCGTCCAGCTTACCGATGTTGTCCTCTGCTATTACAGTCAACTCAGACGTCATAGATTTAAGCTGAGAAATCTGTTCTTCCGTCTCTTTCTTTTAAGAAAAAGAGTTTTAAGGTACAAACTCATTCTTTATGACATTAGCTAGGACGGTTTATGATGACCTTGTCAGCAAATACAATCTATCATTAAATCAAATGCTGACTGAAGTTTTTCATCTTCTTCCTCTTTTGTTTCCAAGTTAGTAGGTTTTCATTGTTAAATCAATTAATCTTTTTTAGTATCTTTTCTCACCAAGAGTTTAATGTTATTATTTTTTAATATATTAAAGTTTTTTCAAAGAAAACATTGTTGAATGTGTAATTAAATTAATCTTTTATGTATATTTTCTCACAAAAAGTTTCGTGTTTTTTTTTATTTGAATATATTTTATTTTTTCAAAGACAACTTTGTTTAATGTGTTTTTGAACATGTCAAGCTGTTCTCTAGGTTAACAGCTGAGAACCGACGAACAAGTACAACTCACTGTTTTGGTCAGTTCTTCAGAGTCATCTTCTAGTCTTCGTAGATTCATTCCTTTTGCCAACTTTTTCTCTTTGGCAATGTCTTTCATTTCTATTGTTAGGGACGTTAATTCTTCAACGGTTTTTTTATTGGTTTTCTAAACACAATTAAAAACTCAAAATTGCAAATAACGGTAGGTAGAAATCGAAATTGCATCTGATTTTCTAGTTAAAGAGATTACAGTTTTTACACAATTAATTTTCATTGAATTAGCGATACGAAAATAAAGAATTAAGAAACCTTTAATGTTTTAAAAAATGAACTGTTGCAAATAATGCATGCTCAATGTCTCATTTATTTATTTTTTTTTAAAAAGTCTTATTTGAAAAGTTATACACACTAATTATTATACTTATTATACAAAACAATTTACCTTTTTACTTTTCTGTTTATGTTTCTTTTTCTATAAAAACGAAAAAAACAAGCAGTGTTACTTTCGATATGTTTGAAAAGACACTGAATTCGTAAGCTCAATATCAGTTACAAACTAAGGAAGAAGTGTGACATGAAAATCCAAATGTTCTACCTTTTCTTTTCCTGTCTTCTTTTCTTCCACAGAGGATTCTGTTTCATTGGTCTTCTTAATTAGAACCTTTTCATTTAGCTAGAATTGTGAAAATAATCTTTAAAATAACTTTGATTGCTCATTTTTTTGTAGTTATTTTTTCTTTATAAGCATAGTACATGAATTGATTTCTTTAAATTTTAACACCATGTGAAATTAAAAAAAACTGGCAAGTTTATTATTAATACGATATTCTTGTCTACTACCTGTTTTGTCAATAGAAATTTAAATTATTTTATCTAACATAAATCTATAGCGATTGTCAACTGTTTTATTAGCATATCGTTATCTTTGTTAAATGAAATGCTTGCATATAAATAATTTCATTTAAACACATTGAGCATAGAAAACACGAACTTTAAATCATCAGAGGTGGGATCAGGTGCCATGGAGGAGTGAGCATCCCCTGCTGACCGGTCACACCCGCTGCGCGCTCTCCCTAAGATCCGGAAACAACAAAAAAATCTGTCCTCAATTTATTGAGTAAATAATAGTATGAAAAACGTTTGTCAGCTTTGGACGCAATGATACATTGTATTTGCTGACTAGGTCATTGTATCGACCATAGAACTTACGAAATGATGGACTTTAAACGAGACTGCTGATATTTTTGCTCCATAGCTTCTTTGTCAATTATTTTCCTTGTTTCAAAATTGCACATGTAGGCCATGATCTTGCATATCGAATCAACTGCGAGATATAAACTCTGTTTGCAAGTGATGAAGGTATATTACTGTTGAAATGTTTAAGTCATAACGTTTATCATAGATCTTGGTTGTTAGATTACCATTAATATTTTGTTCGAGTAAACCACCCAAATATGAAACAGATGTGTCTGTAATATCTTTTATCTCAAGCTCAGCAGGATATATCTTATGGACATAAGAATGAAAATGCCCATTGCTAAATGACACTGTAGTTTACTAAATTTTCGCGATACCTTATTTTCGCGAGATAGTCATTGACTCTTGATAAGCGAGACAAAATTTTCACGAATTGTGTTTATTGCTCTATATAATCTTTAGGAATACTATTATACGCGAGAAATAAATTTTCGCGAACACACTGTCTCCCGTAATTACGCGAAAATGAAGTTCTCGCGAATAAAAAGTGATTTACAGTTATACGTCTTCGAGATATCGAAATATCGAGTCGAAGGCACGAAAAATGTTTTCTTTTCATGTGTATGATTTGGGACAATTTCTGCGTCATAAAATCATGGAATCTGGTCTTGCAATTTCGTGAAAATCAAAAATATTTAGCTGGCCAGAAGTGTTCATGAATCTGCTAAAACAAGAAAGTTTACTTTTTCTCCTTAAAAAAGCAGTCCCTATCCAATGTAGAAATGCTTGATTTAAAATTAAAAATTCAGGAACTATATTTTACATAGCCTTGTTTTAACTGAAACTTTGTTGTACTTTCATTTCCACAGCTTTTGTTCGACGTTTGTTTGTGAAAGGGGTGGGGTTGGAATTTTTTTCACTTTTTTTTTAGAATTGAAACATCTTACATGTATTTCTTATGGTTCAGTTCGGGTGAAATATTAGTACGCCGTTATGTGTAAAGGCAGACATTTTTGTTATTGTTACCTCCGTCAGTTCAGTCTTTGTCTTCACAGCAATCAATCTGTTGCCTCACCTTTGGCTTTTCTACATTTTTACTCTGATAACAAATTCAAAAAAGGCTTGTCATTAACATTTATTCAAAGAAAATAAAGATATTATTTTTGTTGCTACTTTCTAAATATAGTGAATCTACCAAGCTTTTTATCAATTACTTCAATTTATCAAAAAAAAATCTCTAGAACAATTCAATTTGTATCGGGAAAGAATAGCATTAAGACAAGCGGTATAAATCATTTAAATTTTGAGATAAAACTTAAATAAAATGTAAACAAGAATTCATCCTTAACTAAGTGTTTAAATGTTTATATTTACATTTGCAAATGTTTTCCTTTATATAACACTACTAAAGGCAAGCGTTTTTATAACTGTGTAAATACAGGTATGGGGTCAAGAGGTCATAGATGTGCGTTTGGATAAACGTTCGACGTAATTTCTCTGTGACGTCATAAAGGGTCGACGCGCGTTTAGTGAATAACATACATGCCGTTGGGTTTGAAAAATTAGGGCATTTCACACGTTAACGGTAATAATCAGGCAAATATAAAGTATGAATAAGTCACAAATGTAAATATAAGTAATAAGGTATCATTTTTTGAGTTTTATTGAGATGTAAAACGGGTTGGCACATGATCAAATCTTCCATAAAGCCCTTCGGGCTTTATGGGATTTGATCATGTGACCAACCCGTTTTACATCTCAATAAAACTCAAAAAATGATACCTTATTTCTTAAATATTTACATTTGCAAATGTTTTCCTTTATATAACACTACTGAAAGCAATGCGTATGTATAACTGAATAAATACAGGTACGGGGTCAAAAGGTCATCGATGTGCGTTTGGAAAATCGTTCGACGTAATTTCTCTGTGACGTCATAAAGGGTCGACGCGCGTTTAGTGGATTACATACATGCCGTTGGGTTTGAAAAATAACGCATTTCACACGTTAAAAGTAACAATCAGGCAAATTTAAAGTATGAATAAGTCACAAATGTAAATATAAGTAAAATGAAGGCTTTATGGGATTTGATCACCTGAACAACCCGTTTTACATCTCAAAAAAACTCAAAAAATGATACCTTATTTCTTAAAAAAAAAAATAAACTAAACAAGCTTAATGATGTACTTAACCTTTTTGCCCCAGAAGGAAACTTTGTTTGACTTGGCTTCTTTTTTATTCTGAAAGAGATATATTAGTACATTTTTTTTTAATTTCAATGTAAGGAAACATTAAAGAAAACCTATTAATAATACTATAAAGAAGGGTAATGTAATAAATTTGTCCGTTTTATATTAGAGGCAAGGTCAAGGTCATTACCTTTTTCCTGGACATAAAGAATAAAAAAAATTATTGTTGTTTTGAATCATACTTCTTGATGCCTACTTCTATTGCAAAGGTTTCAAAAAATGTTGTTTTTTTTTTCTATTTGCATAAATAGATATTACCAACCAGGGTCTTTAAGATGATATTACAAAGTGACATTATTAATCTCCATATCCTTCTTTAGCTCAAATTGATATTGGCTAATCAGAATTTTTATGATATATATTTATTTGCCTCCTATATCTATTTGTCTTTATTTTCACACATGGTAAAGCTGACACATAAAGCACAGGCACCTGGAATGACTTATTTTTTCTTTAATAAAAAATATATACCCTTTACTAGGTAGGGATATATTTTCTAATTAAAAAAAAATATGTAACGTCAGATGCCTGTGACTTAAAGGTACAAATTGAAACAAAACCAAAAAAAATGATAGTTTAGTAATGGTGAAAAGACACTTTTTACGGAATTTTGCCTTAATATGCAAGCTCAAAAGTCCGTTACCCATTACTTAATTGGAACAGAGCAAAACGAACCTCCAAAACATCCGAGTAGGGATCAGGTGCCATGGACAAGTGAGCATCCCCTGTTATATATAATTTAATTAACTCACGTGTTCATAAGCAAACTTTAAGGGTCGAAACTATAATTCATTTATGAACAATTTTGATAAGATATCGAGAAGACATCGTGGATATTGACAATAAGAAAAGTTAAGTGTTAACAAAACGTTTTGCATACTGCACGACTAAGAGAAAATTTTCTATAATACACATAAGTATCAAGAAAAATTCTGACAAATTATGAAAAAGTAATAAGTCGATATCGTTACTACATGGTTTCTTGAACATAACTCTATTTACCAAGGTCTGTGTTTGCTCTGCTCCTGTTTTTCTGTTTGAATGGACCTTTGACTTGAAAACTGTTCGGTATCTCCATATATTTTATCTGGTTACTGTCGTTTCGCCCCAAAAGCTCATATTTGTACTTGGGTGCCGGTGAAAATCTTTGGGGCGCTAATGCATGGGGCGTTCTGGTTTTGGGACACAGTGAATAGCACCCATTTTATCAAACTCCACATTATCTCCTGACTAGATGAAATATTCGAAGTATCTTTGCTAATATGTCATATTTTTAGATAAAAGAGATTTGAAAGATCAAAATTTACTAATCCCATCATAATTGAACAATTTTGAATAGAAATGGTAACCTTATCTAACAACTATATATTTGGCGGAATTGTGGCGTATGAAAGTATCTTCTTTTCTGCTTCTCAAAATTATCATAGAACAATTAATTAGACATAATTTTTACACAATCAAAGATGAAGACATTTTCAATGCTGTGAGGTCACCGTATTAATCGATAATTGATAAATTAGAGAATCTAGAATTTCCCTTGCTTAGTGAGGCTTTTAAATGTTCTAAAACACTACACCAAAATGGTTTACTTCATGGTATGCTTGTGTTAACTTCTTACTTAATCATATAAATATTAAACGTAGTGATTTTCTAGGTATGTCATCCCCAAAATTTAAAATCAATTTGAAAATAATATTACTTAATTTCTATAAATTAACATGGGAAAAAGACAGGAATTTACATAAAGATGGCAAATTATCTACCTTCACCTGTATAAAGACTGAATTTTGTATTGAACCCTATCTAGATATTCTAACAAACAATCAATATAGATCAGTCGTTACAAGGTTACGAATATCAACTCACGGGCTTAAAATTGAAATTGGACGTTATCAAAGATACCTAAACAGGAACGAATTTGTTCACTTTGTCATCACAATGAGATTCAGGATGAAATTCATTTTCTCCTTGTATGTCCTCATCTTTATGTACAAAGACTTAAACTCATAAATATTTGTAAAATTAAATGTAAAAATTTTCAGTCTCTTTCTTATGATAATCAATCTTACTGGAAAGACAAATGAAGACCTTGACATCCCTAGATCACTCGCTAGATTCCTTGGTAATCTACCTTAATTGAAGATATTTTGATATGCATATATGTACTTTTTTCCCAGTTTCTTGACTATGACTATAATATTATAATAACCTAATTTATATACAATAAATGTATGTATATTCAGTATATCTCTTATATATGTTTTTATCAATTGCTCTCATTATTTGTAAGATCGTGTTTGTTCTATCATTTGGATCCTCCTCCTTCTTTTGTTTGTAAATCTTTTTTGCTCCTCCAAGGGCCCAAATTGGATTAATGAAATCTTGTATATTGATAAAGTACGAAGACTATTCTTCTCATTTTCTCTTTCACTCCTTTGTGTACATCTTTTTTGATTGAGTAAAAACGGAAAATTGGAATATGACTGTTCATAGCTTTCTTTCTCATTCTTTCAGGAATATTAATTAAACAGTACTTAGTACTCCAGTATATCTTAATAAGAACGCCTTTTAGGTAGAAAATGTGAATGCATTTCATTTTACGAGGGGGTGGGGGTCTTCACAATGCGAGGCACTACAGATATCAAAACATATGTCCGAAACTGAAAGTTCAGGGTTGGAAACAAGTGTGTAGGACTACCTGACTTATCAGTTTTTCGTCTGAACAATTCTTTTCGGTAAAACACTTGTTACTTTTTTAAAAAAATTAACAGATATGTAAATAATAAAATAAAGAATTTTCTTACCATTTTAGGATTGATATACCTGGATAATAACACGTACGGTTAAAGATAAAACATGACTGAAAAAGGAAATACCTGTGTAACAATAAGGGAGAAGGAAGTAGTATCTCAATTTACAGAGAATAATATTATAGTGAACACGGCATACATAAAGTATCATGTAACAAACAGAGAGAAAGGTGGTCTGTGTTTTATTAATGCAAAGTAGGCCATGCAGTGACAAGTATTTACACCCTGAGAGAGAGAGAGAGAGAGAGAGAGAGAGAGAGAGAGAAGGGTTGTATGTCAACAATAATCATAAATACTAGTATTCAGTATGATTCTATGAATATTTGTTTCATTTCGTAATCAAAGAAAAGAGGCAGTATTATTGTTATTGTTAAATTTAAAAGGTCATTGAATGTTATTCTTAGCCTCTTCATCCTATATATAAAGCCTACAGATGAAAGGTATTGGTAAACATAGTCAAGTAATTTGTTATCCTGATCTCAAGACTCTGTCATGCTTAATCAAAATTATAAATTTAGAGTACCATAATAAGTCTTGGGATCAACACATACCCCAGGAAACACCGGTGTAGGAAAAGATGCATACTAGAAGAGATTGACCCTAAACATAAGCTAGGAATGTCTTCAAATTTCTATTGTTTCAAGAGCCTTTTGAGCTTGAATTCTATTCGTTATCTCAGGTATACCAGGTATTTCACTTGAAATGGATTAGAATAATACATTTTATACGTGAAACGTTGTTTTGAAATGTCAACTTTTAATTACTGGTGATTCTAAATGGATGAAACTGTATATTCAATTTTTACCCAGTACTGTTTTTCCTTTTAAAAAGTTGTTCATTATTCTCCTTTTTAACACTTCAACCAAGAATATCAGCAGTTTCGTTTTAAGTCATCATTAAATAAACCAACTTCTGACTGACGTTTTCAAACTTTGTATAGCCATTATTTACACACTGATTTGTCGACGGATTTTTAAGGTCTTTCGTTTCCAACGGAAGACCTTCTACTGATTCTGATGGTAAAGATTATTATTCTTTTTTTTTCTTCTACTTCCTAGACCGCAACTTTGAGGCCTCATATCTCACTCATTTCTCAACAG